ACTATACTTCTATCTCCTACCATCCCTCTTTCCAGCCAACACTTCCACATTCTACTGCAATGAAATTGACCTCTCCCTCCTAAGAACAATTTTTCAAAACACTTGTCTTGTGCACTGTACAGTACGCTTGACCACCAACAAATCAGTCCCAGGTTCTGGAATACTCCCACGTCTGCCTCTCCCACTCGGGCCCCGCCAAGACCTTCGGCTTCAACTTCAGCGCCTGGTACCCAGCCCGCACCGCATTCAGCACGTCCCGATAATCCTCATCCTCCAGCTCAGATTCCGTCGACGTACAAGTGGCAAAGAAACTCACATGCACCAGCACCCCGGGCTGTTCCACCTTCTCGCCCTCCTCCTCCGCGAAGGACTCGAGCAACCTCCCGACCTTCGGCGCAGCGCCCTCGCTCCACCAGATGATCCCATCGGGGCAGTTGTAAGCGTCGATGTCATGGTGGAAGAATAGCAGTTCGAACAGTGCTTCCATGCGCAAACCACCTTCCGTCTTCTGCAAAACGGTCTACTGTCAGCAAAATTCGCCCCCACCTTTCTTATTTCTTTCTGCTTGTGTTCCTTTACAGCCAATCTAAGGGGGAACGGAGTGGGTTTCATTTCCGAGTCTTGGAAGGGGGCAGCATGCATACCATTATTTCATACGAGCCGCTATACCCGAGTTGCCCGCCACTGCGTTGCACGATGCCGAACGAGGATGTCGGCGGCTGTTGGATGAGCATACTGCGCCAGCTTGCTTCGGGGCGCAGGTACGCTGTTCGCTGGGCCGGGTGCGTGATGAGTTCTAGGTCGGCGATGTTGAATTCCCGGCCGCGGTGTGGGGAGACAGCGTGGAAGATTGCGGGGAAGGCTGTCGTCAGAAGAGGGTTGAAGATCGGTTCCGGGGAATAATGCCTCTTGGCTGTTGCTCGGGGCTTGAAGAACAGCTTTTCCTGCAAGGAGGAGGATCGTTGGACGATACTTCGCCATTGGGTGCAGACCCGCTGGGCTGAGGTTAGGAGAGTTCGGAGATCGAGAGCCAGTAGGATGGGCTCGAGGAGCTCGGGGAGGGCGAGGACTTGGTCCATTGGTTTTGATTCATAAAATAATAGTTCGTGTGGAGAATAATGTTTCGACCATATGAGTCTGTGTTTCAGGTACTCGCGAGGATCCTTTAAGGGTCTTTGAGAGAGGATAGTAGGGTCGGTGCGGAGGAGAAGGCGGGGGGAGGAATTAGTATAGCGGTGAGGGTTTAGCGTCTTGGTGAGAATTTAGTGTCTTTCTAGTACCGGAATCATTAGCCCTACTCACTTACACACCCTAATTACTCATGAGTCCCAGCAAAAACGCAAGTATTATTGTCCTTTACAGCGCTTTCTTTCGATCCAATCTTTCTTCTCTAATTGAACTACTTCTGACGCTGGTCATCTCATACACTATGTCAAGTTGAAGCTCTCGACCGCGCAGGACGAGCACAGAACAAACCCCAACACGCAAACCTCAGGCAAGCATCTATTGTTGAAGCGGCCTGATCGGCTTGGGCGGTTCCACCCAGTCAAACTTGCCCAAATTCTTGGTCAACCAGACGTCTCCAGGCTTGTCCGCCATCCGCGGCGTCGAGTTATCGAACATCGAGCCGCTCAAAAAGGTGTGCGGGAACCCGAAGTCAAACGGATACGCACTCTCGATCTTCTGAATATCCTCATCACTGAGCGCCACACTCAACCCGGCCACGCTGCCCCTGAGGTGGTCGACCTTGCGGCCCCCCACGATGGGGAACACATAGGGTGCCTTCTGCATCACATAGGCCAAGGCCACGCTGACGATCTCCGCGCCTTTAGCGGTGCTGATATCCTCCAGCACGGCCGAGACCTTCTTATCGTGCTCGGACGTGGGGATGAACTTGCGGCCCGGGTTATGCTTCTCCCGCTCCTGGAACCCCTGGCGCGTCTGGAACCGGCCCTGGTTGAGCACGCCGTAGGGGCACAGGGCCATCCCCTCCTCCCGCGCCATGGGGATGATATCGCGCTCGAAGTCCCGCATCGCCGCGTTCCACATCCCCTGGTAGACGGCGAAGGGGCGGAGCCCGTGGTCGCGGGCGTACTGGTTCGCCTTGGTGACGACCCAGGCGGGGGTGTCCGAGATGCCGAGGTAGATGACCTTGCCGGCGACGACGAGGTCGTTGAGGGCGTGCATGAGCTCCGGGATCGAGGTGGTGTAGTCCCACCAGTGCACGTACAGCAGGTCGATGTACGAGGTCTGCAGCTTCTGCAGGGAGGCCTCGACGCTGACTTTCATGGACTTGGCGTTGTTGCCGCCGTAATTGGACTGGATGCGGTCCCGGTGGTGCGTCATGTACGCCGTCGTGTACTTCGTGGCCAGCACGATCTGGTCGCGGTTCTGCCGCGCCGCCATCCACTCCCCCACCAGCACCTCCGACTCGCCCTCCTGATACCCGCTGGCCGTGTCGAGGAAATTTCCACCTTGCTCGTAGAAGTGGTCCAGCAGGGCGAATGCGTCTTCCCGCGTGCAGTCGCCGTACCGGCCCTGCTGGCGGCCGCCGAAGGTCATCGTCCCCAGGCAGAGGGGTGAGACGCGGACGGCGGCTGCCGGCGCCAGTTGGCGGTGGTGGAAGAGGGGGCTGTTGTCGCTTGCCTTGTCGGTCATCTTGTAGTGTTGACTTGTTGCTGGTTGCTGATAAAACTCAGTGAAAACAATGATTGAGCAATCTGTTGGCTAGATGGGTTGGCTTTATAGTATGTCGTGCCAAGCTCTTCTGGGTTGAGTTGGCTCATTGAACTAAGCAAGAGGGGCCATTGACGTCAGTTTACCCTGTAAGTGGGGATCAGTATCCAGGGTCCTCAGGTCTAAATTGAGAAGAGGCCTGCTGAGTCCGCGTGCTTTCTTGGGTCGACTAGTCGGATAATCTGTTCCACAACCTAGCAATGGTTGGGCGGGTCAGCATCTAGACGATATTTCGGAGAATGCGGAGATAGCGATGGCTGGTTGGGATGGCGGAGATAAGAGGCTAGTATCGGTCATCATTTAGGGTTGTCGATCCACTTGATCCTGTCACATGTGATTGAATATCCTTAATATGCATCTTACAGGCCTAGAAGCACTGAATTTCTGGGTGAGTAGTACAAATTGTAAGAACCTATGCTTATTAAACAGCTCAGAATCAAGAATGTGATACATTACACATCAACAAATGATTTAGTACAACATTTTCGTCATTCCAAGTGGGTCTGCAGGCAGATACAGAGCAAGAACCTGCGGTGTCACCATTGTTCAACTGTACAGTACAATGAGGTAACTTCCGAAATACTGGGTGCAGTATCATTCCAATGCAAAACAGCAGCGACCATGCGACGTTGGTGTCGCTGTAAACCGTGAGGCATACGCGGGGAGGTAACTTATGGAAATGACGTCGGCATCCGTCTTCGATGAATCGTCAAAAGATTGTAGCATAGTCGGCCTTCGTTATCTCCGTCGCTTCTTTTCCTTTTCAGCTAAGCTTCTATCGAGCTCTGCAATGCACCGTTGTAGAGTGGTGTTGCATTCCGATAGCATGGCCTTGAGCTCCTGGTTCTGGCGGTGCATATCAAGGAATGAGCGCTGCTCGGAAGCTTTGGACGATCGACTTAGGTGTAGATTGGTGCTCAGGGTGGGGTCGTTTTGATCATTCACCGTCGAGTGCTGTGGGGCTGTCTTTTCGTGGGGCTTCGATGTCGTCGAAGGTGTCTAGCTGCGTTAGCTTATCTGAATGATTCTTTGCAGGTTCGCACTACCTTACCTTTTTGTCTTTGCTACTCATCTTTGCGTAGGTATTCTGAAAGACCCTCCTGTCATTCAATCTGAGTCTTTCGACAGTCAAACCATAAGTTGGATGAGGGTAGCTTCGATCTCCTAATATAACCAACCCAGCTCCCTGCAGAACCGCAGGTGAGTAACCAAGAATCCAGACTCCCAAAGAACCTACGACACATCACTTTCTCCTCGCCAGGATAAACCCCCTAACTGCTTAGCGGGAATAGGAATAGGGCTTATCGCGGCACCATCGGCGGCCGTTGCTGGCGATAACGCCCCGACAAAAGTACCGGGTCGGGTGATCGTCAGCCCCTGAGCAGGAAAAGGAAAGGCGACCGACGCGCAACAAAGACCCTGCTGGGGTATTTACCAATCAGACTTGCCGCATCACCGAAGCCTCGGAACTCATGTACTTCTTGGAACTCAAGCAAACACGCACTACTCAGTAGGGCACGAGCACCGAGATGAATCATTGGGGACGGAATATCCGTTCTTGCCGCTCTAAGCGCTGAATGCCGGCATTGACCGTGTTTCAGAACGAGACCACTCTGCACGCTTTGCATGAACCCAACATGTTTGTACAGGTGTGTTTGCTCTGGTGCTATTTCTAATCGGAGTATCCGTGTTCTCTTCTGGCTTGGTGATGAATACAATCTCGTCAGCTGTCAGTGTTAGGTGGTTGTGCTCCCGTCGAGCCGTGGACTTAGGGCATAGCTCCGCGGCAACTAGCCTGGGCGGTCATCGTGACTATTACTACTATACTGCAATCTATCTCAGTGACTCTGCGGAGAAAATCAGCCTAACAAGCCTCTTGGCAGGGGGGAAACCAAGGAAGGTAAGGTTGAGGTGTAACAGGCAGATTGCAACATCACGCGCCAGGAGCGTTCTTGCATAGTCCAGCCGTCGCCGTAGTTTCCAGCATGCATGGTGGCTGTTTAAGCGACGGGAGTAACCTAATTCTGTACTTTTGGAAAAGCAAATATAGCAAACAGACAAGAAATCGCCATGACCCACTCGGCAATGGTCTCGAACCTGACAACGCAGACATCTCACTGGTCAGATTGCAAATCCCGCATAGATGTGAACCGCAAGAAGCTGTTAACGTCATGCGGGTCGGAAGGGGGATGCTGTAGACAGCGTACTAGAGCGTTAGCGCTACTTGTAATTGAGAGCACAAACTGTTGGCTTCTCTCAGGCCTGGGAAAGACGATGTGAGAGGAATTGGGTTTCAAGGCCCGAATCTAGGCGAGCGTAGATGATTTCCGGCAAGACTTCGATCTTTTCCTCACGCTTCTTTCTCCTTTCCACTCGAAGAGACCAAGAAATCTTTTCTCTCTCTTCTTTTTTGTTCCTTTTGAAGGCTTTTGAAGTAGAATGAACAGCTTACACAAAATTTGTACCATATCTTTAAGGATTAAATTCAGGAATACAGCATATTACAGACAATTTGAAGCAGACTTACTCTGTCTCTGCCTCGGAGCTGAGCTCCTCATAGACCCCGTCAGAACAATCTTCGTAGAAGTACTGGAGCTGAAGCAACTCCACGGGGTAATACGGGCTGTCCACCGCCTTGCCGGGGTATCGCAGGTCATACCATTGCTTGAACGCATTCTTCTTCTGCAGGTCACGCGTCGCCCAAGGCAACGCCAACAAGGCAAAGAACTGCAGCTCAATCGCGATATGCGCCAGCAGGTGCTCCGGGTCGACCTCCTCGGGATTGGGGGGCCAGCTGCAGAACGGACAAGCCGAGAGCTTCGAGCAATGCTTGCTGAGCATGTGCTCTTTCCAGGCGCAACCGTCCGCCGAGGGGCTCGAAAACACGGGGTCGCGGCAGGTGGGATCGAGACAGATGTACGGACACAGGTCCTCCGCAATATGCGCGTTCCAGGCCTCGAACGACCGGGCCACCTCGGGACGCTGGACTTCCAGGCAGCCCGGACAGGTGAGACCGTGTGTCGAGATCTGCTCCACGCAGAGTTCATCGGGCCTGTCCTCGTAGAAGCCGCGCAGGTACCCGGCCGCGGGCGGCGCGGGCCAGGCCTCGCCGGGCTCCATGAATGCCCGCATTTGCTCGGCCGAGTACACGGCATGCCCGCGCTCCTCCAGTGCGTACAGGATCCGGTTGCGCCGCACCAGGTTACTCACGATCAGGTGTCGTTGCACCAGCACGTCCTGGAGCAGCTCGTTCCGAGCCTGCAGTGACTGCGGGATTGGCCGCTGCGGTGGCTGCTGCTCCTTCTCAATCACATAATCCTGCCTGCGGTTGAGCACATACGCCATACACTGGTAGTCGAACTGGCGATGCCGCGGGAGATCGAAATGCGTATCGGCGTCGCGGAACCAGTTCCGTCGCACCGCCGCCGCCATCCCCCGGATCAGGGGCAGCACCTCACCGGCCAGATCCCGCATTGCCTTCTGCAGGACCTGCATCCAGGCGATGGAGTGTTCCTCGGGGAGCCAGGGGGGCAGGATTTCGTTTTTTTGATTGCCAAGTGTCGTGCCCCGTGAGGCGCGAGCCTGTTCCACCTGCGCCTGCAACGCTCTGAAGTCATTCCCCAGAAGCACGCGCGGCGGGCCATGGCCCCACCAGCGGTACCGGCCGTTCAGCTGCGCCCAGGCATCCTTGGCCGTGGTGTCGAACGCGGTCTCAGTGTCGACTTGCCTTTCGGACGCATAGGCGCGTCCTTTGTCCCGACACTCCTGGGCCAGGTCGACCAGTTTGCAGAGTAAGACCAGCGCCATCGCCGGCGGGAGGTTGCCGACTTCGTCTCGAACTGTCTTTCGCTCCTCCAGGATGGTCTCCAGCGCCTGGCACTCCTCGACCACCTCCTCGAGGATCTCGACCGTGTTCGGTCCGTCCTCGGCCAGGTAGAATGCGTCCCGGGAGGCGTCGTCGCCGAGTGCGTCCGCCGGAGCCAGGACGCCCAGGCCCCAGAATTCCGCCAGCGCGGTCAGGCACAGGACGGCGGCATCGTGGATGGGGGTTGGGGTTGACATCCCGGGGGTTCGGGAGCTGCACACACCTATATACTTCATGATAGCAAGGTCTTGATAGGTCTGTTGAAGGCGAACATGAGTGGGTTGGATGATCCGTTGCCAAATGCATCAAAGCTGACTCTTTTATATGTCGAAGTGAGGGAGGATTTACCACTTCAATAAGAGAGTAAGGTTCCTTCTCTTGCTCATTGTTCGTAGGAAGAAGAATGGCCTGGCCCGCATGGTCACCGATATCGATCTTTGGGCCCATCGTTCTTTATGTCACTGACAAAGGCTTGGAGGATAAAAGCAATTGAGTATTCCACAGATTCCCCGTTGTCTTAGAGGATTTGTAGGGCTCTACCTATAGTTCGCTAGTTTCGCCTTTGTGTGCTCCATCTGCGAGCGGTGAGTTTCCGACAGTTCTGAAGACGAGCCAAGGTAACGGTTTATCTGAGGCTCAGTAGTATGGCTACTACCGCTAAGTGGTTTAAAGCATCTTTCAGACCTTGAAGGAGTCTACCTACATGGTACGGCCGTGGCTTTGTCAAGTGGCTTTTTGAAAGAGATATAGATTCTGACTGGAGCTAATGCGGTAAACCTTCACTAGCTGAGCGGGTGGGAAGCCCGAACTTCCGCAGCCAGTGATTCTGTATGCGTTAGATGAAGCTCTCAGCAAGTTCTATGTCACCACGACAATGCTCTGTGCATTCAATTTTCATCTTTCGGCCTAGATCCAGACGACCAAAACACAAAATCTAACAACATCCACGTTCAACATCGTTCAACAGCCCAGAGTCAAATCCCTCACGCAACGAGCTCAAAATGCTTCAAAAACTGCTCATCACCGTCAAGAACCTCGTACACTTCCACCGGCGCCTGCACATAGACATCAAAGACCCGGGGCCCCCCGCGCGAAAAATTCGGCAAGATACTCGCGCACGCCCCGGGCATCCCCGCCTGTACGCGCACGGCCGCCGGCACCACCCCGGCTCCAAGATCGTACTTTTCCACACTGCCCGAGTACCACGTGTTCATGAACAGGTCCATATCCCCGAAGTCGGCGTTGGGGGCGAGGGTCTCTGTCGGCGTCAGAGAGGCCAGCAGGCCCGTCATGGCGGCGAAGGAGGAGACGTCGATGTGCGAGATCGATCGGCGCACGAGGCTGGCGGCTGTTGCGAGACTGCGGGCGGGGGCGGGGGCGTCTGTTGCGCCGTCGGCGGATGCGATCAGGTCCTGGGCGGGCAGCGGACCGGCGAGGGTGCCGAGAACCGCGTTGCCGAAGTACTGGGGCGAGGTCTTTTGGTCTGGGTCGCGCGTGCGGACGTCGATGGGGTGGACGAAGCGGGTTGGGGCGTTGGATTTATCCGGGAGGACGTGGAGGCGGGCCCGGGTGATGGCTGTCCATATTAGGGCGGAGATGCAGTCGTAGGAGGTGATGTAGTCGACTCCGTCGAGGTGGGGGGTGCATTCGGCTTTGAGTCGTTGGATGGTGGGCTCGGAGATCCGGTAGATGTTTGCCCGGCAGGGTGGAGGTGGGTTGATCTTGAATTGGCTCTTCTCGATCACGCTGAAGAATGGGACTTTGGCGAGTTGGTCTGCTCGGGTGATGGCGGGGTCCGGTGCTGGCGTGTTGAACGCAGCTCTGTTGAGGTCCGGGGTGTAGGTCGGCATCGCCTGGCCTTCCAGGTGTGCCTTGGTGCTTTGGCTAATAAGAGAGAGGCAGGTATCGAGGGATGTCCAGTCTCCAGCTGCGTGGTTTAGTCTCAGCCCCAGCGTGAGGCCTCCGTCGATGACACCGATTTGTATTTTGCAGGCTGGCTGTTTGCCGACAGGCTCTTCTGGCAGAAACCGGGTCAGGTCCAGTTCTGGAGAAAATGATCCCTTCGCTAAGGCAGAGAAAGGCTCGCATTCTGTGGGCTCGAATCGGCGGATGTTGACATCGATTTCGCTGTCAGCTGTGGTGACGCTGCAGAGCTTGCCGGCTTCGTTGAACTGGAGGTCTCCCGCCATGAATGGCAGTTGACGGGTTGCGTTTCTGATCCCTTCCAGCAAGGAGGAGATTAGGTTCTCTGTGTCGACGGTAGCTTGTAACTCATAGAAGAAGACGATTTTCACAGTCTTGGTGAAGCCCATTTTGTCGATATCCGACAGCTCGTAGCTTTTCACCTCACCCATAGCTGCGGGGGTGATTCCTTCGATGTAGGATCAACAACGGCGGATTTTTCGATATGGTGATACGTGAGAAGTTGGGGGTCTGGAAGAAGGGGGTCTTTGAGGGAGGTCCGGATGCACCAGCTTCGTTATAGGCAGTTGAGTTTGTGATCTGTGCTGGCTGATATGAGAAGACTCAGCTTATTTATTTGATGTTGTTTGGCGTCGGACACCAAGAGCGGGATAGCTCCGCCTGATCCGGATTAGGCATAGTGTCCGAGATCTTTTCCAGATCGGGTGTCCGACTGTCTAACTTAATATGGCAAGATCGGCCATCGGCACATCTTCCCGTACTGGGCGACTATACTTAGATTAAGGCGTGCTGTGATAGAGCCCTTATTCTGTGTCAAGCTGAGATCCATGATGAATTCGGTCCCTTCTCATAGACACTCATAGACATTTTAACAGGGGTTACTATTATCTCAAATGTGTCCAGGCAAACCCCTATATGCCATGTGCAAGTACAGCGAAGCACAGACATTGGCCATGAGATATTGTATCAGCTGATGTAGGAACGATGACAGCAAGGACCAATGCGGATGCTTTATCCATCTTGGAGGTAGTTTGGTTTCTACCTCGCTGCTAAACTCGACATACATGCTCATCTAAAGCTAACTAAGGCCAGGCGCAAATTCGCCACCCTGCAGTCATGAACCATGAATACGAGACCACCCGAGCTTCTCATTTGCTACCATCTGAAGATGTAAGGATCATACGGCTACGCGCTTTGTTATGAGATACACTAGCTCAATGCGTGGGAGGAATGACCTCATAGCACAAGCTCCGTAGCTTCACGAAGAGACTCTCGCTTCTACCAATCTACCAGGCACATTTGAATTGTACAATGTAATCGTTTTTTGGCAATACCTCATAATTCCAAGCCGGATATCTTTTCCATCCCCATGGCGCAACCGTCTCCCACCTCCGCACAGCCGGCGCAGCTCTGCATCACCGCCGAGGACGAGCTCTTCGACGAGGAATTCCTGCAGACCTGGCGCCGAGAAGGCTTCCAGGTAACCTACATCCCCTTCCAGAGCGACCGGAAGAGCTACATCGCCGCGCTCGATGCCGTCAAGCATGATCTGCGCGTGAGCGAGGTGTACGCCATCATCAGTGAGCATACCTCCCCTCTGACCCACACCTTCTCAACAACAACAACAACAACTAACCCCCGGAACATAGGCTTCGGCGACGCAGCCTCCTTCTGCCTCACGCACTACCTCAAGCTCCCCAACACCAACAAGCTCTGCGCGCTGATCGCCTACTACCCGACGGCGATCCCCGGCCCGGCCAGCCAATACCCGGCCTCAATGCAGGTGCTCGTCCACCTGGCCAACCAGACGGTCAACGTCCATCACCCGCCGTCGAAGACGGGCCACAAGGCCACCGTGGTGCGGAAGCAGGTGGGGCCGGGGGTGGGGATCGGCGACCGGCTGGCGCTGGGGTACGCGGCCTTCTCGTACGTGGGAGCGCTGCCGGGGTTCGCGGAGCACGATCTCGAGGAGTACAGCCGGATCCCGGCGCAGGTGGCGTGGAGTCGCACGCTGGGGGCGCTGCAGCGGGGCTTCCGGCGGGTCGCCGCGGTGGATCTGGAGAGGGTGTGGGATGAGATGCAGGAGGGTAGGTCGTGCCTTGCACCGCACCAGCCTCACTCACTTTTGAATCACCCACCCTATTGGCACTCAACAACCATCAGACACCTATCCTGGCTAACATTTCCCCCCGTGAAGCACGATACTTCTCCCCCAACGCAACCGCCCTCCTCCCGCCTCCCCCTGATTCCGGGCTTGAAGCCAACACCACCGCCCCGCCCCCAGCAGCCCTGTACACCCCAACCCTGCAAGGCGCCACCGGCCACACCCCACTGCAGGACTTCTGGGCGGCCAACTTCCACGCCCACCGGCCCGCCTCCATGCGCCTACAGCTACTCTCCCGCACCGTCGGCGCCGACCGCGTCGTCGACGAGGTCCTCCTGACCTTCCTGCACTCCCAGCCCATGGACTGGATCCTGCCGGGCGTGCCGCCCACCCACCGCGAGGTCCGGATCGTGGTCGTGAGCATCGCGCGGCTGTGCAGCGGCGACGGCCGGCTGTATTCCGAGCATGTCTACTGGGATCAGGCTAGTGTGTTGGTGCAGGTGGGCTTGCTGGATCCGAGTGTGGTTCCGGCGGGGTGGCCGCGGGTCGAGCGGGTGCCGGCTGTCGGTGGGAGGGCGGCTGCGGCGGTGTTGGCCGGCGGGGTGGAGGGGGGATCTAGGGGCGAGGGGGATGTTTCTGACTTTGACTCTGGGTCTGGGGAGTGGTCTGGGGAGGAGGAGGCGTATGACTCGTTTTCCGGCCGAGAATCAGGCGAGGATGGAGAGGCGACGAGCAAGGAGACTACTGAGGAGCAGATACCTTTGGAAGGGCTTACGCTATCTTCTGGGGAGGGGTAGTTGCTAGAGACGGGGATACGTATACGTAGTACCACTCCTTGAGAGAGGGTGGGATATGTGGATGGATGTATACTAGCACACATGAAAGGAAAGGCAAAACGAGCCGCGCTTACAGTACGCATGTACATTTGCACTCACCATCCATACTCAAGAGACAGTGCTCTCCGGAATGTAACCGAGTATAAACTCCCATCGCGCCCTCAACCACAAAAACACATCAAACCCATTACAAAACCCAACAACCCCGCTCAAGTAAACCACCCTCAACCAAGCTCTCAATTCCTAAACACCCAAACAATTAGCTCAACCCTAACCCAACACCCAACCAAAAACCAAGGGTAGAACTCACAAAAGCTGCAACGTCAAATCCCCATGGATCTTTGCCTTAAGCTGCACCTCGACATCGAGATTCAAATCCAGCCGCAACCGCAGCTGCTCCTCTTTACCCCCACCCCCTTTCTCCTGGCCCTGGCCCTGCATCTGCTGCTGTTGGCCACCGCCCCCGAGCACCCCGCCCACCGCCTTCCCGGCCGTGTTGCCCACCGTGCTGACGGCCTTGCCCGCGGTGTCCTGGACGAGTTCGCCCGCGCCCCGCGTCAGGTTGCCGGTGTCGCCCAGCGAGCCCAGCGGGAGCAGGTCCTGGTTTCCGGCGTTGCGCTGGCCGCGGCGGCGTTGTTGACGGTAGCTCGATGCGGTGGAGGGGTCGCGGGGCGGCGGGGTGGCCACGGGGCGTTGTCGGCGTTGCTGGCGTTGGCGCTGGCGCTGGGGTTGGGGCTGCGGTTCCGGTTGGTGTTCGGGCTCGGGTTGCGGGGAGCTCGGCGCGCTGAGCTCGTCCATTGAGGAGGCGGACTTGGCGTCGTCGGCCATTGGGTCGGGTTTTGCGGGGGAGTCGGATTGGTTTGATGGCGTTGGTGAGTGCGAATGTTCCGGGGGCTCTTCTGGTGGAGGTGCTTCTTCGGTGGGCCGGGGTGTCTCGTTTGCAGCGGGTTCCGGAGAGGGGGGCTGTTCTTCTGGGGATGATGGCTCCTCGGTCGGTGGTTCCTGGGTTGGGGATGAGTTCTCAACTGGAGGTGACTCTTCGGGCTTCTCAGGAGAGGGCGATTCGTCCGAGATAGAAAGTTTTTCGATGGGCGGGAGTTCCTCGCTGGTAGCAGGCTGTTTCCCACCGCGGGGTTCCTCCACAGGTTTCTCAGCGCTGGATTCCTTGGAAGGCTTCTTCTGGTCCGAATCTGAGTCCTTAGTCGGGGGTTTCTCAACACTAGACGTCTCCTCGACTGGCGCAGCTTTCTTCTCAGTAGGTGACTCCTCAGCAGCCGGCGGTTTGCGTCTTAGTTTCGGCGGTTTGCGCTTCACGGGCGTAGTATCACTAGGCTTGGTGTTCACATCTAGACTATCCTTGGCGGAATCAGTCATAGTTGCCCTCTCTACCTAGTGGTATCGAAGCAGATTCAAATCCAAACTCTAGAAGTATACTTAAAGCTAAAGCGAGAAGGACCATATAAACTAAAAAAAAAACCCCGCCGCCTCACTAAACGGATATACAATTCCTACCATATTTTGGTCTGGGATGATCCAGAAATGAGGTCACGATGAGGGAATCTGCGAAACCAATAAAGGAGGTCGGAACCAAACGTTTGGTTCTGTGGAACCATCAACCCGTATTGTTCGGACAACAGAGGAATACGAGAATGGGGGCTGTTGCGGTTTGCGGCATTAGGGCCGGGGGTTGTCAGCTGATGCAGACCTTACAGGGGCCAAGACGTCATGCAGTTTCAACCCGGGGAGTATACTTTTTCGCCCCTCCTTTCCTTTCACCCTACAATGAATTCCTTCCCGTTTGGTGAACAAGATTTCGATATATTGCGCCGATCCGATCAATAATTGTTGCTCCAGAACACTCCACGCCAAAGGTACCACTCCTTCTCAACGAAAATGGCTACAACACCACCTCCAGACGAGCCAGCCAGCGCAGCAGAGGAGACCACTGCACAGGGTCAAACCCCCCAAACCGCCACGTTACCCCGTCGACCACAAGAGCAACAACAGAAAGACATCTTCCAGGCCCAAGAAGCCAATGATACATCCCGCGCCTTGCAGCGACAGCCCCGGCGACAGCGACGTCAACAGCAACAGCAAGAGCAAGTCACTTCCGCCTCCGATACCGAAACCTCAGTCGACGAATCGATCGGCGGCGCGCGCGAGGAGCAGCAGCAACAACAACAACAAGCCACGACGACGCTGCGAGGAGGCCATCAGGATTGGTCGCTCGAGCCGGAGCCCGAGAAGGAAGATACCGGGCTGAAGCTGCGGCTAGATTTGAACCTGGATGTCGAGGTGGAGCTGAAGGCGAAGATTCATGGGGATATCACTCTGGCGCTCTTGTAAGTTCTTTTCTCGGGCAGTATTCGTCGTACTTGCCAGGCTGTATGGGGCTGCATTCGGGGGGTTAAACCATGACTACCCGGGGAAAGGGGCACACTGCTAATGCTTTTAAGGTCTTGATTATAGTGCGTAATCCCAATGTGCATTGCTGGAAGATTGAATCCCAAGCTCCGGTCGTCTAGCATCAATTGAATTTCTGCATGGCGCGAGGAATTCTGCCTCGGTCCCTTCTCGCGCGGTGTGTGCGATCTTGCTTGTAGGTGGAACCTAGCACACTGACGCTCCAAGCGCAGCGCTCACTAGCGCAATGACGCACTTCATGCCCTCGTGCATTGCACACCATGATTGTCTGTACATACATAGTATTTGAACCTAATCAAGAAGGATCAATCACAAGCATACGCAAGACCTGACCGTCGATGACGTCCATCTTCTCTAATCAGGATAAAACTCACCGTGCCTTGCAGGTAGTCCCCAGAGTACATACAGGATCCATGGTTCGCTGGACATGAATCATGAGAACCAGACGTAGAACAAACAAACAAAGAACCTTGAAGTTTTCGCCCCCCCAAGGCTCCTGATCATACCACTGTTCATCGGGTCTATTCGCTGCTATGCTCAGATTCCATGGTCCGGAAGTATATCGCTGCGCGAGTTGTGCCATGGGTACCTTCAGCGCTAGTAAGCGATCGCGATACCAGTGCCGTGGATATGTGTAGGCTTCCGTAGTGTCCACAAGATTCGGCCCTCGTATTCATCGTGTCAATAAGAGTAAGTGACGTATCAATGATGGCTAGTGAGCTTGTCTTGTGATAGCAGTGTTGAATATATCCGATTATAAATGCATGGGCAGCGTTGGGATAGTGTGAAGGTATGAACAGCATGATCCACAAATCTGAGAAGCAATAGCGACAAGAAAGTACAACATTTTCAATCCTCAAACACGAGACATACATAAGCAAAACACTCATGGAGGTTAAAAAAGCCGCAACGCACCCCGGTACCCAAGGAACCCCGGGGAAAGCCCACCGCAAGATTCAAAAACTGAGCTCGAAGGGCAGTCGCTCTGCGGGGAAAGGCCCGGTTACAGCAGAGGACAATGAGCCCAGTTTAGAGGAGATCAGTCCTCACGAGATGGAAGGAAGTACCCACAGCTCTCAAGAACAGAGGCAGAGCATGCGGTCCGGCTCAGGTAGAGCCGAGGCCGGGGGATCCAAGACTTCTCCGCGTTCGTCAATGCTGGCCCGGGGTAAGACGGCGGCAGATCGGCTGGGCCGTTTCACCCAGGGCGTAAGATCGATGGGCCACTGGTCTTCTTCGGATGCGGCGCAAAAAGCCCAAAGTAAGCTCGGTGGGGGCGCCCAGCAAGCCAAGGGCATGGTACATGCTCAAGAAGACACCGCTGGCTCCGGCTTGGAAGATGTCCAAGGAAGCGTGCTCAGCCTAGCAAGTCTAGAGGGGCTCAGTGTCGAGGAAGGGGGCATGATAATGAGCTCGGCGGGGCAGCCGATTGGGGAGGTGGTCGAGGGAGATCCCGACGACCTTGTCGGCCAGACCGTCGGCAAAAACGGAGAAATTCTGGATGAAGATGGGGATTTAATCGGACGTGTTCAACTCCTGGAGAAGGAGGCAGAACCAGCGTCCGGAGAAACCCTCGATGCGGGGACATCTGAGCAGGGTGAAAGCCTTCCAGATATGCCCACTTCCGAAGAGGGGGTCTCTCAAGATCGGGTGGGACAGGAAGAAGCCCAGGAAGGGATCCAGATGGAGGACGCCACTACTCCAACCGAGCCCGATCAACCTGTGGAAGAGCCACAGGCAAGCGACGCAGATCAGTCTTTGGAAGAGCCCCCAGCAAGCGAAGCGGACCAGACCCTACAGGAGCAACAGCCAGGCGAAGAAGAAGAAGTCGCCGGCGAAGGGCTTGCAGTCCCGGAGTCTGCGCAGGACAAGGAGGGTAAAGAAGGAGCAGAAGAGGAACTAACAGGAGATAAAGAAGTGGGGGCGGGAGTGGAAGAGGGAGTCGGAGAAGGAGTTGGAGAAGAAGGGGTGGGAGAAAAAGGAGTCGGAGAGGAAGGAGTCGGAGAAGGCATCGGAGAAGGCATCGGAGAAGAAGGGGTGGGAGAAGAAGGGGTGGGAGAAGAAGAAGCATGGAAGGAAGGTGAAGAAGAAGGGGAGGAGGGAGAAGAAGAAGCTCCAAAGCTACCAGACATCTCCACCCTCGAAGGGCTCACCTGCACCAAGTTTGGAGGCATCGTTGATTCCAAAGGTGCCCTCGTTGGCGAGCTGATCGAGGGTGATGCCAAGAAGATCTTCCGTGGAAAGTATCAGCTTGATGATCAAGGCCAGTTCTGGGACCAGCGCGGGAAGGTTGTGGGCAAGGCGAGGCCTCTCCCGATCGAGGAAGACGAGCTTGGTCCGTTCGCCGACCTGGGTGATCTGCATGTAGCCGAGGACGGGTGGGTCGTGAATGAAGAGGGCCGACGGGTAGGCCAGGTCGTCGAAGGGGACGCGCGGAAACTTCGCGGGCGTGCAGTCGACGAGGATGGCGATATTCTGGATCGGCGAGGAAATCCATTGGGCCGTGCAGAGCCGTGGGAAGAGCCATCAGAAGCCGAGGCCGAAGAGGCTGAGGAGCCAGAAGAAGAAGGAGAGGATCTGTCGATCTTAGCCGGTAAAAAGGTGAATAAGCTAGGCAACGTTGTCGACGATGCCGGTGTGGTGTATGGAAGGCTGGTAGCCGGGAATCCACGCAAGCTGGCTGGCAAGTCAGTGGATGAAGAAGGTCAAGTGTGGGACTCGGCAGGCCGCGTGGTCGGCCAGGCAGAGCTGCTCCCAGCTGAAGAACGAGACCGGCCTGAGGGACCCTTCTCCGGCCTCGAAGGCTTGGTGGTTGGCAAGGATGGGTTGGTGATCGATGAGAACGGTGACACTGTCGGGCGCTTGGTGAGTGGTGATCCTCAGCGTCTTCGTGGACGTGCTGTCGATGAGGACGGTGAGATTCTCGATAAATCGGGCAATGCAGTCGGTCAGGCTGAACCGTGGAGCCCTGAAGAGCCAACTCGCAATGTCAGCCCCATGGCTGGTCGGAAAGTGAACCGCGATGGCGAGGTCCGTGATGAGGATGGCAATGTGATCGGCAAGCTGACCCAAGGCGAACTCTCCAACTTGATCGGTCGAACTGTCGACGAAAATGGCTATGTGGTTGACAATGATGGCAACAAGATCGGTGAATGCACCCTCTTGGAGAACATTCCCCCTGAGCCGGAGCCGGAGTCTGAGCCGGAGCCGGAGCCGGAGCTGTCTCCCGAAGAACGTGAAAAACAGGCCCGTGAAGAAAGGGATAGAGAGCTGGCAAAGAAGATGGCTTCCATTGTACAGCAGACGCTGGACTCGATTGAGCCCTTGTGCAAACAGATCACTCAGGTAAGTCGAGACTCTCGAACAAACATACTAGGAACGCAGACAACTCACTAACTCTGTTGAAAACGATAGCATATTGAGCGAGCCAATAGCACTCCCAAAGAGGAGCTAGACGAAGAGCAGCTTGTGAAACAGGTCAAGCCGTTGATTGAAGAGGCCGGCAATGGCTTGCAGGAGTGCAAAGGTGCTCTTCGAGCCTTGGACCCCGATGGTCAGATTGCTGCTCAAGCCAAAGCACGCAGTGCATCGGCAGAAGCTAGCCCCGAGGAGCACCATTTGGCTGAGGTGCTCAAAGAGTTGACTCGGGTGGTGGGAGAAACGATCGAGAGAGGGAAGGCTCTGATCGCCGACATGCCCCATGCTAAGAAGAAGATCAATCCGCTGTGGACTTTGTTGTCCGAGCCCCTGGTGCAGATCATCGCCGCGGTGGGCCTCCTGCTGAGTGGTGTGCTCGGTCTAGTTGGTAAACTACTCAACGGACTCGGACTGGGGAATCTCCTCTCGGGTTTGCTGGGAGGTTTGGGGGTCGACAAGCTGCTGGAAGGGCTGGGGTTGGGGAAAATAACAGAGGGGCTGGGGCTTGGTGGTAAGAAGTGACTGATCGGTCAGAGGCCGAATGAGACTGTTCTGATCATGCCAGGCAAATTCCGTTATCTTTCAATTCACTTGCTTCTTCTCGTTCTGTCATTCTTGTACCTTACCAGTGACATGTTCGCCTCAATTTCAAGCATATGATTTCATGATAATAAAAGACTGGGTTTGTCGTAAGTGTCGTAAGCCTAGTCATGCCGTTGAGCTATTGCTGCTTGGAAGGCCGCGCTTATTGCGCAAAGCACCAGAAACATAAAAAGGAAGAATGCGCTACCCCAGAAGGTCCACCACATTCTAGCATCTCGCCGATCAACCCACAATTGCTTCATTGTTTTTGGTTGTTGTGTGTCGAGATACGTTTTGAGTTTTCGCAAGCGAGGGCCGAAGTACTCGTAGTGCTAAAAAGCCTCGTTGGGCCGGACATCATGCTGGAAGATAGAAGTGATCATGAATCTGATGTCTTCTGGGTGATATGGGGCGTGAGAGTGAATTTCTCGCATGGGAGTGACAGTGATCTTATATTGGTCAAAAGAGCTAACACCTTTGATGCTTGTGGGTGGATTATCAATGTCAAAGGCCGCTTGTACCGTGGATGGCAGAGAGCAGCGATGAAAATTCTCCATTATGCGTTTGACTGAGGGCCTTGTCATATCGATCTCGAGAGTTCCAGGTAACTTTGTCTGAGAACGGAATCGCTCGCTGACTTCAATCCTCCTACCCAGCCAAGTAACTTCTTCGGATTTGTTTACCTTTCTCAACTGCCTCAGGCCTCCATTCGACGAAGGTCGGAACAATAGAGCGTATGTTTGGGACAGTTCAATATAAATAGGCTCGTGATAATCCTTATTCTGAAGACCCCGGCCATTGTAGAAGAAAGTAGGATGAGCGAAAATCCTGATTGCATTCCGCCCGGCGAAGATTCTAAGATGATCATCCAGGCAATCTGTCCATTCGATACTCAGTCCCCCCTTGCAGGTACTGGACTGTGAAAGTTTCCGCTGCAAAAGTTGGGCCGGAAGCTTCCTCAAGAGGAAGCTCTTTGACCGGCTCGATGCCAGTCATCACGCTGCGATGAGACTTGACCATTTCGAAGACTTTGTAGACTGGCTTGTCTTTGTGTCTGAGGTAGAACGTCAGAGTCAACGGGTCTCGAATCTCGCGGAACTGGGACTCAAATTCCACCGCCGTCAGGCAATCGTATACAAGATGAAATTGGTACCAGAGGATCTCGGGCTCGTCGACGGCAGGCTGCGATAGTAAACGCCGAGCATAGCATCGATCCAAGAGTTCTTGGAGGGTCATTTCATTGGGACCGTCGAGTCTGGAAAGTCGCAGTGCCCGCCCGACTTCGATCAATACCCGGAGCGTTTGGTCGGCGTCAAAGTAGCGACAGTCAACACATACGCCATCTCTGCATTCGAGGGCATCGTTCCGTCGAGCTTCTATGCGTATAAGAATTGAAAGCAGGCGAGGCAGTCGCGAGTATTCGAATGCTGCTTTCGAGCGGTCCAGCGGACCAAATATACGGTTCATTCTGTACGGCTCGATGGCGAAGAGCCCCTCCAGGAGGGTGTCACGATAGCGGGAGAGGACTTTTGCATCGAACAGGATATCATCGTTTCCATGCCATCCGAGCGTGCGGTAGATGGTCGGAAACCGATCGAACGCCGCTTCGTACGCATTCTGCATGGTTTGTCTCTCGGCAGGGGTGGATTCGTGCTTCTTCCAGAGGTCTAGGGGTGTCAGAATCCGAGTTCGCCTACTGATAACCAACATACCCGTGTATTTTGCCATATAGGCCTCGTTCTCGGCATCTATCTCCTCTGGTGACATCAACTGCACTGATGTTGATGAGGAGCATGCTTGGGTCGTCCATTCTGGATTTCCTCGTTGAGTGCGCTGAGAATGGGATCATTCTGTCTGGTCAATTCTCGAACTCTGCTCGGCTCGCGTCTGTCGTTCTCCTGATCAATCAATTTGCTCAGAGCTTTGATGGAGTCTGTCAGGTCCCGCACGGCAGCGATAGTGTCTCCGTCGGATGCGACGGGCTGTCTCGGTTCTGGAACTGATGAATCCATGGTTGTTACCGAGAGGAAGTGGGGGAAGCATAAAGAAGCATCAGGCAACAACAGAGCTATGATGCAACCGACCTCTTATCGCTTATCGCCGACTATACACCATCCCTCCAACCCTCATCTTCACCACTACAATATGCCAACAGCTATCCATCACCCATACAATCATAAGCCTCGTATCTACCCTCACCTCACCGTCTACCATCCTCTATTCACCCCCAATCTTCACCCTCAATCTTCACCCTCCAAAATCTCCTCAAACATCACATCCGTCCTTAAAGTAAACTTTACCCCGGACACCACCGGCTCCCCAGCATGCAACAGATCATTCTGCTGAAACACCAACACCGACCCAACCCTAGGAAGCACCTTGACAACCTCATCCTCCTCGCTTTCGACCTCCAAGCGCCTCACAAAGGAAGTAGCCCCACCCACCAAACCCTCCTCTCCGTGCCCCTGCCCCTCCCCATTCAAATACACGTGCACCGTGAAAAACGACCGCTCCCGACGATCCGGCGTGGTATACCAGGCATCCCAATGCGGGCGGAAGAACTCGCCGCGCTGGTACCGTAGGAAGCGCAGCCGCTCGTTGAGCCGCGTGAGCCGGTAGCGCCGGCGCGTCTGCAGCGTCACGCGCCAGGCGTCTTTTTCCAGCACGTCGAGGCCGAACTCATCCCGCAGGAAGGGGAGGATCCGATCGCCCAGTTTCTGCGCCAGCTCCGGCGCGTCGAGGATGATGCGGCCGCAGTTGCGCGTGTCCGGGCGGAGGACCTGTTCGCCGGCGCCGACGTTGAGCATGGCGCGCTCCCATTGGGGGGTCTGGGGGGTCGCGGTGAGAGTGCTGGTGCTGGCTTCGGCGAGGCGGAGGAGCTCGGTGCATTCGGGTTCGGTGAGGATGTTGTCGATGATCGCGGCGAAGAGGTGGCGGTAGGACGGGAGGGGTGGGGTGGTCTGGCTGAAGTCGATGCGGTGGGCGGTTGCGTTCGGGGGTGCGGTGGCGGGGAGGAAGGTGTCCATCTTCGTTGTTGTGGGGGAATTCTGTGGGTGGGTGTGTAGCAACTTGATATGTTCGGGTCTGGTGTACCAGGTGAGTGAGTATACGGGCTATATACTGTGGACGGCTGACGAGGCTCGCAAGGCTGACTCGTGCCGCTGCGACCCAATCGCTGTTGACGCAGTATGTGCTGTGTCGACTTGGCTAACATGAAGGAGAAGTTTACATGTAATGAGGTCGTTCTGGTAGGTCAACGTATGGTATATTCAGAAGTATGTCTGTACTGGTATGCTTGAATTAGTGCTGGTAATCTCTCTTGGTAGGATGGGCGTTTCTAAATTGAATAGCATGATAGCTTGTTGTTTGGTACATGTAGCCACCACAGCAACAAGAACATATCCACCAAGCATGTTAGCTCAGGGGAAGAGCGCCGGGCTCATAACCCGGAGGACCCTGGATCGAAACCAGGACATGCTAACTATTTCTTTTTTGTTCTTTTGCGGCCCACTGACAGGATCTTTTTTGTCGTGTCTCCTCTTTGTGCCTCTGTTTGTATGCATTTAGATTTGATGCTCTACACTTGTTCTAGTCACGACTGTTAGAACTAATTGTCGATGATGTGACACTCCGTCGCCGATGGGGGAAAAGCCGACCGCAGTCAAGCATGAAATTCGACCCAACAAGCCATATCTATATATCGAGCAACACCAGCCTCGGCACGACAATGTGCAAATTGTCAATAGACCACTGTTTCAAAATTCCGAATCGAGAAACTTGATCTAGCAGTATCTTCACCCTGAAAACCATATACAATACCTAGACATCGGATTAAAAGATCTATTGACTAGACTGAATCCTTCCCACACTAGAGAACAATACCCCCGCACCAGCAATAGCCACCGCACCGGGCAAGAAGACCCTTTCCGAAACACCTGCCCATCCAGAGCATGTGCAGGATATGATTGCTACCCCCAATGCTTAATTCAACAAGCGGCTCCCGTGGCGCAATGGTAGCGCGTTAGACTTCTAATCTAAAGGCTGCGGGTTCGAGACCCGCCGGGAGCTTGTCTTTTTGCGCCCGATCGTTTTTGTCCGTCTTTCAACATAGTTTAGTTTGGCTTGGCATCTGTGTTGCGGTGGATGGAAAGCAAAGCTGTTTCTCCGTGACTGTTGTGCACCCGCGTCGGCACTCGGCAGACGACGTAGTTGTGCCGTCAGCTGTTTTTTCTTTGGTCGGTTGTCCTACCTTGGTATCCAATCATATTGTATTGATGCGTATAGTGTTTGGTGTTGTCTTGTGACATAGTGTTTTCTGTTTTGTTTGCGCCTAGACCCATGACTGCAGTATGACTGCAGTATGACTGCAGTACAACACTATTGCTGGCACGACTTGTTCCACTTCATTATTTTGCTCCGGACGGATTTTTTCACAAGATTGAACATAGTCCCAGTGCAGATATACAGAAGAATTGATATGTATACATAATTATGATCTCCCAAGCACTCAACCCCGCACAATGTAGAACCCATTCATGGCCATCTGTTTCTCGACGGCACCGGCATTCGGCCCCCGCACCCCAACCCAATGCAGGGGAACATTCTCCACCATCCTCTGCCCCCGGGACCTGATGTTCGTGACCCCATCCCGGGTTCTCTGCACCCAGGTGCCAGCTTGTCCACTCTCCTCACTGCCATCGCGCAGGCCATGTCCCTCGGCACTCCAAGCAGGATGCCCCAACACCTCCTGTGCATACGCCAGATCACACGCATCCGCTATTATGGCCGCCTCGGCCGCCGCATCGCGCGCCGCCTGCAGCTCTCTCTCCGTGTTGCCGATCGCGGGCGGCAAATCCGGACGGAGATAGCCCATGATCCGTACCTGGAGACGTGACTGTGGTACGAGTGGCGGAGAGTCATCGATGAGACGGATGATGGTCTCCTTGCCCCTCGCGCGCGAGAGGTTCACCCGTGCTTCCAGCGCGGGGTTATACGAGAGGATGGAGAGGACCACGCCTTGCCACTGGGAGTCGCGAGGAGACAAGTATGTTGTTTCCCCGGGCTGGGGCGCCTGCGCAACGGATTGGCAGACGCGTACCCAGCCGAAGAACACCCCGTGGTATTGATCCTGGATCGCGTCGGGAACTTTGCTCAGCTGGTACTTTGTTCCATCCCCACATGCTGCGGGTGCCACGCGCGATGCCGTAAAGTCCACGGGGAATGGTGGCTGTGGACCAAGATCCAAGGAGATAGGCTGGTATTCTCTCGCTACTGAGGGATTGCCGGTGGTGGTGGGGCCCGAGGCAACTGACACCAACGAACTCACGCGGTCGCCGGCCCCGCTCATCGAGTACGCCGTCTCAGCGGCTGTCTGCGTCTTCCAGCTCGGTTTGTACGGCTGAATTCGATCCTGGACCGCGGCGGTGACGGGGGCGATGACGGCCTCGGCGGCCGTCTGAGCGTACATCCCGAGGACCATTGCACCCACCTCCAAGGGCATGGTGGAGAGACTGGCGCCCCGGCACGAGCTGGGACTCAGTGATGTGGACAGGACTCGGAAGACCGGACTGTAGCAGAGTCCCTTCTTCTTGCCATTCCCACATAGCACGAGTTGGAAGTAGCCATCGCCCGCCTCGGCGGGGACCCTCACCACAATGGTCTCTCGCAGACGGTGCGTTTCACGAACTTTAGGTGGCGCCTTTTTGCGGAATTTCGCGATGTCGCGCTGCCACGCGCGCTCATCCGCGGGCTCCACCTGAGTCGCCTGGACGGCATGGGAGGGAGTCACGTCAACCCAGTCATCGGTGAGCCGTAGAAGGGCCTTGGTGCGCATTCCCGTCTTGCCGGTCCATCCCTTGGATTGCAGATAGAGGGTGCGGTCGGCGGGAAGGGGCGAGTCGGAGAAGATGGAGATGGTCACGGAGGTGGTGCTACCCCGGTAGAAGACCACGCCGGAGGAGTGACGCAGAATGGTGACATGCTTGGTGCTTTCCGTAGGATGGCTGAGTAGCCCGCCTAGAAAGTGACGCGCTTCACCGTAGGCTTTCTGCGCGACCGAGAGATCCGGGGTGGTGCGGGGAAGGCTCGGTGCGGGAGATGTTGCTGGGGCGAGATCATGGATGGTGGTTGCAGCGCGAGTGGGGATGGTCTGTGATGGCGGGGGTCGCGGTAGGCGTGGGGATGGTGATCGCATAGGAGTGTATGGCGGTGGTGGTGTATCTAGGAGGGGTGGCTTCTCCGAGGGAGTTGGTGTTGGGCACGGCGAGATTCTGATGACACCACGGATGGTGCCATCATCGTCAGCTTGCGGAAGAGGCTTGCGCTTGATTTGGTGGTGGTTCAGCATAGTGATTGTCCATTTGAACGGTGGAAGGGGCCGCCTGGAGCTAAGATATCGCAACCAAACCCCTGAAGTCCCCTGAAAGGATCGGAGTCGTGATGTCGATCGGAAGCGGCGGAGGTGCTGACTCAGCGCCTAGAAGAGGGTGGAGGATTGTGTCTCGGAAAATGTGTGAATTGGAACAATGAGTCCGGAGATGTTCGATTCTCTGAGATGGTTGATGTCACTGCATTGGAGAACCATGGTTGGCTGACAGCGGCAATATCCCGTAACTCGATTGACAGAACTTAGGCTTATTTGTTAGCAGCGTAAGCTACAAACATCTGGCGGGGGCATACATCAGAATCCAGAGGGAACAACTTGTCGATGTTTCATCAATACTCGTATAACATGTAGTCACCAGTTCGGACACCTGGCATGATATTGAATTCAGGTTGAATGTTTAGTGCCATCTTCGCTGCCGTGACTTCAGCTGGCAGGGTTTCGATGTCCACTGGGCGGCATGGTCTAGACGGTCGATAGTATCTCATAAGAGCTGAGACAAAGAAGACTACTGCTAAGATAGGGTAGACATGACGAGCAAGTCCACGACACAGATAGTTTTGGTGTTCGAGTCCTGGTTCGGCAACCAGCCATGTAGGAAAGAAGGACGGATTGACGGGTTTGGGATAGGCGAACCATGCTATAGGTAGCAGAGGGAGGTGCGAGGCTGATGTGATTTAGTCTTCATCTAGATAGTAGCGGGCAGCTTGGAGAGAGCGAGAAGATGTCATGCAAGATGTCCTCGGCGTGATGTTTAAGGTCGACACAGTAGAAGTAGAGAGGAAGTCAACTGTTAATTGTTAATTGTAAGAGCAGGGAAAACATTGGAGAGACGGCTTCCTGCGCTTATCGATAAGCATAAACGATAAGACACCCAGGCACCCAGGCACCCAGGCCAGCATTCCACCTGTGCATGATGTACAGCTGCATTCCAATAGGACTCACAAACTGGGTTCTTCCAGCTACTGCAGTGGTAAATCAATCGACAGGATGAGAGATCCGCCTATGAGAGTTTGTGCCTGCCATGCTGACCCAGCCAAACCATGATCCTCCACAATCTCAACTGGCAGTCACCAAGCCGCACGAGGATGATAAGCCAACGGGCGACAAGTGGCCAGCCGAAGACGGGGGAAGAAGGGGTGGCTGGCGGTGACGTCTTTCCGTTCCCGTTCCCACTCACTCTCACTGCCTCTTGTTCCTATCCATATCTCACAGTACCCCTTCTCTATTTCCAACTTCATCTTCCGACTTCCCTCTGACCGGCAATCCATCGCCTACACCCACACCCATACTCACCAGCCCAACATGGCCTCGTCACCCCCCGAGACCGAGGTCCCCACCCTCGACAACATCGCCCAGATCCTCCAACATGATACCCGCGTCAAGCTGGCCGGCGTGGACGTCGACGGCATGCTGCGCGGCAAGCTGGTCTCCAAGAAGAAGTTCCTCTCAATTGTCGCCGACGGGTTCGGGTTCTGCTCCGTGATCTTCGGGTGGGACATGCACGACCGCACCTACTTCAAGGAGCTGGCGATCAGCAACAAGGAGAACGGGTACCGCGACCTGGTGGCCGTGCCGGACCTGTGCAGTTTCCGTCGCATCCCCTGGGAGAACAACATCCCCTTCTTCCTGGTCAGCTTCTTCGATCCCGACACCAAGCAGCCGGTGTGCGCGTGTCCGCGGGGCCTGTTGCGCACGGCGCTGGAGTCGGTGGAGGCGGCGGGGTATCGCGCGATGGCTGGAGGTACGTCCCCCCACATCATGACCATGATACTTGATATTTGACTGTGTGATGCGCGGAACTAATCTAGCCGAGTAGCGGAGTATGAGTTCTATCATTTCCGCGCGCCCAGCAGTCATCCCGACCCCAAGCAGAACGCCTCCGCGACCGCCACCTTCCTCAAAGAGAACCCCGTCGAAGCGTTGCCGTCGTTGACGGAGGGGATGTTCGGGTACAGTCTGACACGGCCGACGCATAACCAGGAGTATTACTATGGGGTGTTCGACGCGTGCGAGCAGTTCAACTGCGAGATCGAGGGGTGGCATACCGAGAGTGGGCCGGGGGTGTATGAAGCGGTATGAGCTCTACTGTTCCGCAGCGGACAGAACCACACACACAAACACACACACACACACACACACTCTCTCTCTCTTCCGCGCCGTGCTGACAATCCAATGGCTACTAGGCACTCCAATTCGGCGAAGCCAAGGAAATGGCCGATAAAGCGGGACTCTTCAAGTAGGCCCACCCGTCCCTCCATTCCAGCTGCACCTCCCGGACTAACGATGATAGATACGTCGTCAAATCCCTGGGCACGAAACACGGCATCACGCCCACGTTCATGGCCAAGCCACGCGAAGGCCTGCCCGGCAACAGCGGCCACATACACATCTCCCTGGTGTCGCAAGAGGACGGATCCAACGCCTTCTACCGCGCGACGCCGGACCCCTCACCACCGTACCCGGACGTCGCCCACCTGTCGGACCTGGGCCGGCACTTCCTGGCGGGGATCCTGGACGGGCTGCCGGACATCATGCCGGTGTTCGCGCCGACGGTGAACTCGTATAAGCGGCTGGTGGAGAACTTCTGGGCGCCGGTGACGGTGTCGTGGGGGCTGGAGCACCGGGCGGCGTCGATCCGGGTGATCGCGCCGCCGACGGCGAGCCCCAAGGCGACGCGGCTGGAGGTACGCGTGCCCGGGGCCGACGCCAACCCGCACTTCGTGCTGGCGGCCGTGGTCGCGCTGGGGTGGCGCGGCGTCGCGCGGAAGCTGGCCCTCCCCGTGCCGCCGCTGTCGAAGGGGGATGAGATGGGCGGCGCCAGTGACCGGGGCGTGCGGCTGGCCAAGTCGCTGCGCGAGGCGGTGGGCGCGTTTATGCGCGAGGGCAGCGTGGCGCGCGAGGTGTTCGGCGATGCGTTTGTGGAGCACTTTGGCGGGACACGCGAGCACGAGTGTCGGTTGTGGGAGGAGGCGGTGACTGATTGGTAGGTTGTGCACTACTAAAATTGTGGGCTGTGCTAACTTGATCGCAGGGAGGTGAGGCGGTACATCGAGACGGTTTGAGTTGGTTGCAGGAATAGAGCGGGACAGTGGAGGATAGACACACAGATTAACGAGACACGACTGCAGATATCATTTACGCCTTTCTTAATACATCCATGATCAAATATGATGCTAGATTTACTCTACACTTCCAGTGTAACCATCCCCAACCATCCCCATCGACACCCCGAACTGGAGATACTAAACGTACAGAGATGAGGGTTCAGCCCACAACCACCTAACGATAAACCCATGAATGCATCAGATTTGCTGACATCCCCTATATCCACCTCCTTACCAACCATATGCCATATGCGGTCTCCCCCCGCATCCCCCTTTCAAGCTCCCACTTAATCTAAATCTCAAACAAATAATAAGCACAAACCGTAAGAACCCAGTAGACTACCACCTTCTAGCTCAGAAACACTCACACTCTCAAAGAAAACGAAGAATAATTCATTATAAACACGGGCCACTAACCAACCCCCTCCCCAACATTCATATACAGTACATATATCCATTACCAATCATTCACATCCCCGAAACATTATGAACTTCCACCGATGGGCACAACCCCCTCCCCAACATTCATATACAGTACATATATCCATTACCAATCATTCACATCCCCGAAACATTATGAACTTCCACCGATGGGCACAATCCCCAACCCAATCCGCAGACAGTGACGGAGTCCGTAACCGTTTAGATATACTCCCAAGCAGCGGCACTACCATTGCGACCGACAGCCAAGGCATCGAATCCGAGGCAGTCGCCGACGTTGCCGGAGGGGACGGTGGCGTTGCTCCAGGCAGCGAAGACCTGCCACTTGCTGGCGGTCACAGCAGCGGAGCCGGCAGCAGGGGTGGCAGACGGGGCAGCCGAGGAGGAAGAGGCGGCAGCGGGGACCGGGCAAGCGATCAGGCCGCTGTTGGGCAGGGTCCAGTACCCGAAGGTGGCGCCGGCGGTCTGGGAGTAGCTGAAGGCGCCGACGACGGAGCCGGCGGGGAGGTAGGCGGAGTGGGGCTGCGTGAAGGCCAGGGCGCCGCTGGGGGCGATGTAGACTTGTTGGCCGCCGGGGACGGAGACGTCCTGTTTTTGCGAGGGTTAGTTGTTTGTGGTTTATAGGAGAGGGGGAGGGGGCAGGAAAGAACGTACCAAAGAGTTGGCACCGGCATCAAACACCGTCTCGGTGCCAGGCGGGCAGGCGCCCAGCTCGGCGACCTGGTCCGGGCAGTAGCTGGAGGCGTTCTGCAGCCCCAGGTAGAAGCCCCCGGAGGCGGCGTTCAAGGGCAGCAGGTGCACCGGCGACCCGGAGCGGGCGGACATCACCGAGAACGAGTTGTAGTTGGCCTGCGCCTGCTGGGCCTGGGGCAGAGCCGAGACACCGGCGGCGGCGGAGAGGAGAGCAAGGAGCTTCATTGTGGTGGTGGTGGTGGTGGTGGTGGTGGTGGTGGTGGTGGTGATTGGGATTGTGAGTGGTAACTGGTAACGATGGATGGTATGTTTGTAGATGATACTGAAAAATATCCTGGGGAAGAAAGAAGGTCTTTATACCTCAGTCCTATGTCAGTATCTTGTTCCACTGCCACTCTCCAACCCGTGGCTAACTAGCAACTCTAGTAACTCGACCATGCTGGTTTAGCGATGCGATGAGTGAAACATCCCCACTCCATCTGCTGATCAGCGGAGTGTGTCTCGGGGACATTCCCCCTTCAGTAACATTGGAAACTGGTTGACCAGGTTTCACTCGCCTTCGTATTGATTATTAGGCAGTGAGAAAAGGAAGTTGGGGAATGTCCGAACAATGCCCCAATTCACCCCCCCCCCATTCCTCCCAAATGACATTCTGTTTAGGTTATCATTCATCAGCAACCGTCTTACCCGACCCGAAGCTGCCGCTGGACCCTGTGGATCCTCTAGCAGATTGTACTATTTAAAGAGATGACATCATACGCTGCTTCGCTTCTGGTGCAGTCACTCAGTCACTCAGTCCCACGGCTAAACTCGATCGATGCCTGCAGAATATTCACGAACACTAACTAAAACTAGTCTAAGACATCACAAACAAAAAAACCAGGCAACCCCAAACTTCGGCAATTTTTTATTTACATATACGAACGCTGACTTCATGCAATGCAACTGTACAATGTCTGAATGTCTCGGATTCCGCCGAAATTCCCCTCCAATGTCCTGTCCACGGTGCCTTTCTGCATTTCTGCCTCGGGTCTAATGTGTGTCTCACTAATCATCACAATGTCCTACTCGGCACCATCCCCAATGGGCAACGGACCTCATCACGAACATCAGAAACATCAATATTCCCCTCGTAAAGGCAAATCCCGTGAGCTCTGTCCGACCCAAATCTCAAACTCGCCATCCGGCATCACCCAATTCTGCTCGCGCACACTCCAGTAACTCAGGTCCTTCCGGGTCAACGTCATCGCCACCGTCTGCCTCTCCCCGGCCTCCAGCGCGACCTTGGTGAAATTCCGCAGCACGCGCGACGGAAACTCAATCGGCTCAGGCATCCGCTCCAGCTTCACCTTGCTGGACCGCCGCGCCCCCTCGTGCACCTCCACCCAGTCGCCATCCTCGGTCACTCCCCCAGGGAATGAGACATACACCTGCACCACGGTCTGACCGGCCCGCGGTCCTGTGTTGCGCACCTCAACCTCGACATTCACCACCTCGTCATAGAGCGATGGATTTCCGCCCAATCCACCACCGGCAGGCGACAACGGCTGCGGTTGGTCGTACCCCTCCGGATAGTGCGTGTAGTTGGCCGCCGCGGTGCCGTCCATCGACGTGAGGTACGGATAGATGAACTGAGGGACCGCCCGGAACTCTGCAGGGAACAACACCGACTCATTGCGTGGAGGCTCCGCGTCGTACTCGGGGGGGAAGACGGTCTGGGGCGGTCGAGACGCCGGGAGACGGGACTTGGACTGCAGCCCCTGGACATGAAGATCGGCAAGCTCAAACGTCGTGTACGACAATCCAAACCCGAACTCGAATCGTGGCGTGATGTTGTGTCGATCGAAATACCGATGATCAATATACAGCCCGTCCTGGAAATCTACCTGCGGCACGGGTGCATTAGGCTCATACAAGACCTGCGCCCCGGGTCCGTAGTCTTCCAGACTCTTGCCGACCGTGTACGGCAGCCGCCCGCTGGCATCGACCACGCCAAACAAGACGTCCATCAGCGCATTGCCGCTCTCTTGGCCAGGCAGATGGGCGAAAAGCACGGCATCGACCCCTGGCAGATCGATCCACGATTCCACCACGACCGGACCCACCGCATGCACAACCACCACGGTCGGCCCAGCGCAGTTTTGAGCGACCGTCTCGATCAGCGTGTCGCCGCCCTTCTGCAGGAACAGGTTATTGCGGTCGCCGTGAATGCCCCCCGCGGAGATGAAACCTTCGCCCGAGTCGGCATTGGCGAACACCAAGCAGAGGTCCTTGTCCGCCACCTCCGCCGGCATCACCGCGTTGCGGAGGTAGGGGCTGAGTTCGATCTCTGTCTCCCAGGCGGACTGCAAAGCCTCAAAGGGGCTGACCAGATACGGGAATTCGGCCGTGCCGCTGCCCCAGCCCATCGCCAAGGTTCCTTGGTTGCACCCGCGATCGGCGCAGGCGTTGGGACCCATTGCCGGGCCCGCATCGTCACCGAAGACACCCACGCGAAACACGGCTCCGGACCCAGTCGTGGGGCGGCGGGACAACGGGAGGGTCTGACGGTCATTCTTTACGAGCACAATTCCCTCGGTCGCGACCTTGCGCGCGATGATCCAATGGGCATTGTCGCCCTCGCCCTGCGCATTAATGAAGCGATTCACCACGCCGTAGGTCTCGTCACTAGGGGATCCCTGATAGATCCAGCCCACCTCGTCGTTGGTCCAAGAGGAGAAGTTGGGACCGCCGTTGCCTTCCGGCGGTGGGCGCTCCCACGTGTCTTGGCCCAAATGGTACCAAGCAGCTACGATGCGAGTCACCATATCGTTCAACCGCTCCATCGGGACAGAAGTGTTAAGCACGGCACGAGTCAGCTCCGATCCCCAGAGCGACTTGCCGTCCGCCCAGCGAAGACCGTCGCCGGGCATGCTCATGTCGAGCCCGCCTAGAGCGCTATTGATGCCCGAGCGCTGAGCCAGCCAGTCGGACTGCACGAAGCCCTGGAAACCCAGTTCGTCCTTGAGGATCCCGTTCAGCAGCTTGCTGTTCTCACAGGCGTGGCTATTGTTCACCATCTGGTACGAACACATGACACTGGCGACATCGGCCCGGATGGCTTCCGCGAAGGGCCAGAGAAAGACCTCATGTAGCGCACGGTCGTTGATGTTGGATGACAGGGCCGTTGCGATGCCCCACTCGTAGGGCTGACGGAAATGTTCCTGCTCGTTCATGATATAGTGCTTGGCCGTAGCCATCACCCCGGTGCTCTGAATGCCGCGAATAGTCTCCGCGGCCGCCACACCCTGCAAAACCGGGTCCGCCCCAAACGCTTCCCAGTTGCGACCACCAGCAGGCATCATCCCCAGGGGGCCCATAGAAGGACCGAGAAGCACATTGACACCTTTGGTGCGCGCTTCCTCGCCCAATGCCACGCCCCGCTGACGGATCAACTCGCGATTCCAGGTCGCGCCGGTGGTGATCCCAGCGGGGAAGGCGGAGATCAAATCGGCATAGCGCAACCCCAGTGGTCCGTCCTGCAGACACAACGAGGGAAATTTGACAAGTTCGGCGGGCGCTGTATAGCGGTGTAAAGTTAATCTCCACGTAGTCACCAAGCCAGGATATTCCGATCAAGACGAACCTGTATTCCCCACACACATGCCCATCTGCCATCCAACGCCGGTCGTGATGTTGATCTTCTCGATGAGCGTCATACTGCGCACCAACAGTTCCGCCCTGCGATAATCATCCGCCCAATCCTCCAGCGCACCGCCTTGCGGCGTCGGGAACCATGATTCGGAGGGAGGCATATCCTGCACAAAACGAAGCAGAACCACAATTAGCCCAGCATCCTCTTACACCTGTAGCAAACATGTAGTCAGGGGGGAAAAAAACTCACCACCTCCACCCTCCCCGCATCCCAGCTACCACGCGCCGCAAACCGTAGAAACACCCACACCAACGCCCCCAACACCAACACGACCACCAGCAGCGCACGGCACCAAACCTTCCGATAATAGTATCTGGTCGTCGTCGTCCACCCCCACCCCATATGCGGCGTATGCTTCTTGAAAGCCGACGATCTTCTCCGATGATGTCCCTTTGACCCCTTCCTCAACCCCACGTCCGAGCTCACGGAGCGCGCATCGCTGTCGTCGCTGTCCTCCTCCTCGTCGTCGGAGAGTTCGAACTGATGCGCCGCGGTCAGGAGTTCGCGTTCCGCGGCGGTGATGGAGGAGAGGTAGGCTTCAACGTCCGAGGGGCGGGCACTGTTGTTATTACTCGTGGGGTAGGCGTAGGCGGGTTTGGATGCGGTGGAGCTGTGGCGGCTGTGGTGGTTGTCGATGCGGCGGAGTTTGATCTGGCGGCTGCTGCTGCTCCTGCTGCTGCTGCCGCTGCCGCCGGTATTGTGATTGTGGTGGTGGTCGTCGTCATCGGAGAGGTCGGAGAGGGTGAATCGGTCGTCGATGTCGGCGGATGGTGAGGATTCTTCTTCGGGGATCGGGGCGAAGGAGGAGAGCGATTTGCGGGAGGGCGCGTCTTGTTTGAGGTGGTCCCGGTAGGGGGGAGGGGGTCCCGGGTTGGGTGGCATTGTTCTGCGCTGTCTTTAAATTGTGCTTATTTGATATCGATAGAAGATCATGGATCAGAGGGATGCAAACGAATGTGAAGATGCACAGGAAGAAGAGGACATGCCAGAAAAAGGAGAGCAAAGAATTGCATTGAATTAGGGGAGAGAGGGATGGGAGATGGAGGGAGGTATGGGGATTGGATAATGAAGGAGGGAGATGTGGACTGGGAGATTGGGAGTGGTGAACTTGGGACAATTCGCAGGTTCTGGCCAGGGGATTGTCACCGCAAGCTTTCTGGCATTGGTTCCTGCCGCGGGCGTTCCGCGCCCGGTGGAGACCAAACTGGGGCTGCATGACGACAACTCGGTGTATAGTATTGACAAAGTAAGATACTGTAATTTACAACAGACACCTACGTATCTTGCGTTTATACTTGTTTGCATACAGATTTTCAAAAACCAAAACGAAATGGATGCTCTATGCTGAGAATCTCGTCTACAGCTCTATATACTCATGGACAGTCATCAAGCAAACAAAAAGGTCTATAAGCCAATCCAGCAATCATCGCGGTCATTCATTCACACTCTACTCCTCATCATCCGTGTCCGGGGGCTTGGGAGTACCCTTGGGACTTTGCAGCCACTCCAGGTGACGCAGACGACGACGCGCCTCGCGCTCCTTCATCTGCGCACGAGTCATCTTCTTCTTCTTGCGAGCCTTGAACTTCAACTCGCCTTCTTCCGCTCCCGAGTTCACCGCCGAGGCGGCGGCACTGGTGGTGGCCGAGTTGGCCGCCGTGCTGCCGGGCTGAGGGGTGCTGGTGGCACTGTCCTCGAAACGATCGAGAGCAACAGCATTGTTGGTGCGGCCGACAATACGACCGTCGGCAATGTGCAGCTGTTCGGGGCACAGCGCACCCACGAACTCCTCGTTGTGAGAGATCATGACCACACCACCCTTGAAGTCACGAATGGCTACCGCCAGACCACCCAGGGAGTCACGATCCAAGAAGTTAGTCGGCTCGTCCAGCACCAGCAAGTGAGGGTTGTTCCACATGGCTCCAGCCAGCACGACCTTGACCTTCTGGCCACCAGACAGACCAGAAATCTGGTTGTGAGCGGCAATCTCGGGATCCAGACCAACATCCTCAAAGTGCTTGGCGATGATCTTGGGCTCGAGGATACGGAAACCAAGACCCTCGCGGGAGGCCTCGTGGTCGTCGAACTCCTGCACCAGCTTGGCGAATCCCAGCTCGGTAAGGGTTTCACGGGAAATCATGGTGTTGTGCTTGGGAAGAAGACCGATCCATTTACTAGACAGCATGTTAGCGATGGGTAGACAACCCAATATGACACTCCGACTTACACTTCATATTGGAAGGACTTCTTCCATTTCTGACGACCCATCAGAGCCTCAATGCGACGAGGGCCACGGCCATCACCCAGATCCACAGGCTTCTCCAACTGTGCCTTGTCCTGCTCGGTAAGGATGCGGGTCTGCTTCAAGTGCACCTCACGGTCATCACCGTTGGCGTAACGCCACTGCAGGTACTGACTGGGGGTCTTCTCCAAGTGCATCTCAACGTGCTCCAGAGCGTGCTGCTTGATGTAACCGATACGGAGGTTGGGGTGCTTCTCGACCTTGCCGGTCTGCGGGATGGTCTCACCCGTCAGCATCTTGATGAAGGTCGACTTACCCGCACCGTTACCACCGATGATAGCGACACGGGAAGACAGGGTCAAAGACAGCGAGGCGCCCGTCAGCGAGGGCTTGCTGGCTCCAGGGTAGGTGTAGGAGCAGTCGGTCATACGGAGAATGGAGCGCGTGTTGGACTTGATACCGGACAAGATACCGGGAGGAGGGAACTTGAACTGAACATTGCTGGCAGACAGAGTGTAGTAGCTCTTGGCCTCGGGCTTGACCTTCACAAAGCTGCGCGGATGGTTAGTGATTGTCAAAAGACAAAGGATTGAAGAACACTTACTCGGCCAGGTTACCCTTGTAGCAAACCAGCTTCTTCTGCTCGTAGTGGTAGATGTCGGTACAGACCTCATCCAAGAAACCAGAGTCGTGAGAGACGATCAAGCTGGTGATCTCAGTGTGGGCCTTCAGGTATTCCTGAAGCCACTTGACGTTGGCGACGTCCAAGTGGTTAGTAGGTTCGTCCAGCAAGAGCACATCGGCCTTCAGCAACATGGCACGGGCCAAAGCCAGCTTCATCTTCCAACCACCAGACAAGGATCCGACGCGCTGGTTCTGGCGACCCTCCGGACCATCGGTGAAGCCGAACTCCAACAGAACGTTGCGGACGTGCTCTTCACCCTCCGCAGCGATCTTGGGGTCCTTCACAACGAACTCATAAATGCTCAAATCAGCATCCTCACCCTGGTTGTGCTCGACGAAGCAGGTGCGGACAACATCCTGAGGGGGGAAGCCCTCCAGCTTGTCGTTGGCGATACTGCGCATGAGGGTGGACTTGCCCGCACCGTTGCGGCCGCACAGACCGTAACGGTGTCCCTTTAGCAGACGAAGGTTGGTGTGCGACAGCAGCAACATACCACCGTAGGCCAGCGAGAAGTTGGCGTTGACGATTTCAACCTCGTTGGGGTCTTCGGGCTCGGGGCGACCATACTTGCGGTGATCCTCCTCAGTGAAGTGGGCCTCCAGCGCTGCCGCGACGGCGTCGTGCTTATCATCCGCCAAGAGACCGCGCAGGTAAGGACCGACGCAGGCGGGGATGCGGTCAAGCATGCGGCAGTTGACATCCTCACGGACCATCTCCGAGATGTAGTTCTTGCCGAGCTCGAACAAGGTCACCAGCTCGGGGTGCACCAGGCCGCCTTGCTCTTGGATCTTAGCCTCCAAGACGGTGCGAACCTCATCAGGGGTGATCTTGGCGACCACACCGGCAGCAACATCCTTGTCGGCCATAGCCTTCTCGATGACGTCCAAAGCACGGGTGGCAAGCTCACGCACCTCAGGTAGAGAGGCACGGTCCTTGACGCGCTGCACACCAGGCTTCAACTTGGGCAAGAAGGTACGGGCCTCAGCGGGGTCGTGGACCAGCTTGGTCAAGTTCTCAACGACGACAACGGTCTGGCGGAGGGTCTCCTGGGGGGTCGTGGGGGCGTTCAGCGAGCGTTCGAGGAGGGGAGTGAGCAGGGCGAGAACGGGGGAGGTGACAATGGCGACGAAAGTGGTCTGGGACAAGGCATGGATAGCCTTTTGCAGGGTCTGCTCGGAAGGCTGCTCCATGGTCTTGATCAGGAGAGGAATGCGGGGAGCAACGTCGTCGTTGGACAGCAGGGTCGTGATGGCGTTCATAGTCTTAATGGACTGCTTGGCGACTTCATTCTTCAAGTCGTGCATACCGGACTCGACCAGAGGAATCAGGTCCTTGAGGGTCTTGCCCATGGCCTCGCGCAGCAAATCCTTCTCGCGCTCCTCCTCGAGGGAACCAGCGCCCATCTGGGCCTTCACGGCCATCTTCTCGATGAGAGCGTAGGCGCCGACGAAGCCCTGCCACTTGGCGGTGTTGCGGTTCAGATACGCGGAGAGGGCGGGCAGGAGGCCGTTGGCGAGGGATTCGGCCTTCAAGCAGGCGAAGAGAGCGTCGATGGCGTATTGAGCAGCCTCGCGAACAACAGCACCCTTGTCGGCGAGCAAATCGAGGGCGAGGTGCAGCAGACCACCGTCCTGGAGCAGGAAGACGACTTCGCTGAGAGGGTGTTCGCGGGGGAAGCGTTCGAACATGGCGCCGAGAATCAGCATGGCGCTTTCGCGGAGAGCGCCATTCTTCTTATCAACGGCGGCCTTCTGGATCTGGGGCAGAATGTTGTAGTATGTGAAGCCAGCGGCACCAACGCTCTGGATGAGCAGATTGGTCAGGGCGTAGGCGGCATCGAGGGACTGCTGGGAGGTCTCTGCGTTGAAGATGGTGTGGAGGAAAGAGCCGATCTCCTCGTAGGTGGGGGGGACCCCGGAGGGGGTTTTGGAGACAGCGGTCTGCATGGTGGGCGTGGGAGATTCGGGGTGAGGCATTCTAAATATGCGAGGGGTATTCTATTGTGGTGAAGTGGTGAAGGCTTCCAACCAGCACAAGCCGTAAGCCGTGGATTTTTGGAGGTGGGCGGAGAGGGGCGTTCAGCCTCGTTCGGAGCAGGAGAGAGAGAGGGAGATAAGAGAAGAAGCTGACTGAATGGAAAGAACTATACAACCACAAACCAAACAACAAAGCAGCAATCCTCCTGGAGGATGCGTTCCAAACACCAAAAACACAGAAAAAAGAAGAGTGGAGAGGGTACACAGCGTCAGAAGAAGAAGGAGGAGGAGGTGGAGGAGGGGGGGAGAGAAAACAATGAGATGGGAGAGAAAAATCGAGGCGGGCGGCGGGGGACTTTTTTTGTGAGATGATGATTGGCCAAGTGGACAGTGAAATCTCTGCCTGAGGCGTGGCTGGCGCCAATCAGAGAAGTGTGGCTTAGCAGGGATAAGGATGCCGCCGTTGAAGTTGAAGCCATTGCTGACGTAAACATACGAGGCGGTGCAGCTCATGCCTTGGAGCCTAAGTCATCTACATGGGTGCCTGAAACACCAGGCGACAACAGGCTGTCCGGATTGGGCTTACCCCGCACGGAGAAGAGGGGGAGAAGATCCACCCAGTGGAGCAACAAAGAAGTCACTGGTAACGTTATTGAAGTGCAGTGGTAACTAAGCGGAATGGTCTGACAGAATTCATTGTGATCCATGATGTCGACTGCACTGCAGGCTGCTGCTGTGGAAATATTAGGTAGCACGTTGCCTGTCACGAAGAGTAATGTAGTACATCAATGTACTCTGTACAATCGGGCGATTTCCCGACAATAAGCCAGAGAGAAAGAGACTTGCCATCCTCATCCGAACCATGGTGCTGTTCACCGCCGCAACCCAGTTGGGAGGCTATAGTGAAAGGCTAAGAGGAAGGCTAAGAGGAAGGCTAAGGTAGACCGACCGACGCAATTATTAGGTGATGTGCTGATCGGCGCATCAATAAAGATATCTCCGGTCGTCCATGATTGCAGGCACATAACAACCCCTGGCTGTACGGCAATATTAAGTGGCCGCATGCAGCCGTCCCCTCTCCCTCTCCCTTGCCTCGGTCGGACCGTCGGTATTGATCTCCGCGTCCAACCGCTCTCACGACCGAGGCTAGTGAGTACAGTACAGGTAGGTGTAGGTATAT